CAGCGATCTGTACTCCACAAGTCGTTGATGGTTTTTGGGGCAATCACATCGGACGGCAAGATACCCATGATTTTCTTGGAGAAAGGGTTTAAGGTGGATGGCAAGACGTACTTAAAAGGCGTGTTGGGGAAAAGGTACTCCGCTGGGCAAAATCCCATTTCGGCAACCGGACATGGACTTATCAACAGGACTCAGCCTCAGCACACAGGTCCAAAGTGGTACAGGACTGGTGCGCAACGCACTTCCCAGACTTCATCTCGTCGGACGATTGGCCCCCAAACAGTCCAGGCCCAAATCCATTGGACTATTCCGTGTGGTCAGTTCTTGAGATGAAAGCCTGCTCTACTAAGCATAGAAGTTTGGATGCTCCAAGTGCAACACCCGTTGAAGCATGGGAGGATTCGGACGGAGGCTACCTCTGTGCCGCCGTCGACGCATCTTCTCGGAGAATTTCAGCCTGTATTCGCGCAAAAGGAGGCCATTTCGAGATCTAGATTGTTTTTGCGATCTATATAGCAGTTGATAAATGCTGTTGGAGTAGTATCATGTATCGATCGATATGACGGTTTTTACGATCATATTTACCATTGCCGGAACTTTTGCCGCACCCTGTACATCGGCTGCCCACCGCAAGTCATGGCTGATGAGACCACCACTACGGTCCTGAATAAATAGGTGGCAGGGCCGGAAAATGGCATTACGAGTTTAACCTCTATTGTTTATCTTGTTACGAGTTAAGAGTAGATAACGCTATTCCTGATTATATGCTTTCGTTCAGCTATACAAACAAAAATAAATAGTTTATGCAGGTAACAGTCAACCGGTAGTGAGATTCTGACCCTGGAGCTTTTCAGCAGACACATGATCGCCCAGCTTTCACAACAATACTTTTTATCAGGTATTTGTTCCGTAATGCACAGGATATTGTGGCCCACGTTGCAGCATCATTTGCATGAGTAGAGACTTTTCGGGTTTTATGTCCGCGATATTGTCGTAATCATAGTTGTATGATGAAGCAGACGTGCAATCCATCTGTAAGAAATACATCATATGTGACACTCACCAACTATAAAGCCAAGTAATTGTAACATTCGACAAGTGTTTGCCAAAAAGTTTAAAAATTCATGATAAAAAACAATTTTGGGCAGTGCGAGGTTGTTAGGTGAAAGAATTTATCAAATCAACGGCCTAACGTTTCGAAGTTATCGTCTTCTTCTTCAGAGGCCAAGTTCCGCCGCTCAAGCGGATATTAAACCCACTGTTGCCACAGGGGACTGTCAGTAGCGAATCAAGTTTTCAGATTTTTTTGGAATGTTACAGAAATCCCCATAGAAACACTGACAGCACTCATTTGCATGCGTGTGCGTGCGAATTCACAGAGTTTCATGACAACGTGGTCAATTGACCCGGTCGATGCTTATCCTGGACCTCGTTATTTGTGATTCTAAAGCGTTGGAACGTTTTAATGTGAACAGGACCGCCAAGATGGAAAATCAAGCCCAAAAGCTTGGTCCGAGATAGTTTCAGCAACGGAGTAGTCGGATTCGAACTCATAAAGACGACTGAGCCGAATATGGGGAGACGGTTGGGCTAGCATGGAGTAAATACAGGGTTTATCTCCATATTTCGTAAATGGTGTAGTTAAATTCGGATATGTTGGAACCACTTCCTTGAATTTCGCATCCGATTCCGTACTGTGAATCCCACCTACCTCGTGAAGCTTGCAACCAATTTGGTAAATTCCCTAACGCAGTATTGTAAATCGGGTATATATGTACTAAGCGAGCGACCGTCAACTCTGTCATCAAGGTTTACAGGAAGAGAGGTCGTGTTCTGCCTAGGTGCTACGTGGAAATGAAGAAGATAAACTTTCAAAACAAACGAAGCCAACCATCACAAGATGGACAGACGATGACTGCAGCATGCACGTTTCAGAAATTCAAGGAAAAGTGTGGCTCACTCGGTGTCGATGTGGCTGAGTCTGCAAAGAAGAAAACGCCGACATCAATTTTTCTTAACCGTCGAGCGCGTTGACTTTCAACTTTTTTCCCGTTCACTTCCAACCGACGTAGCGATGTGATGACTATGGAGGCGAGATATGACTTTGCTGTGGAACGTGAGCCGCCCTAATAGCGTGAGGACTTCGGACGGGAACATCTTCATCTGCTCTGCCATGAAGATATGCGCACACAAGTGGGTACTGTCCTCGCATACAGTGGTTTCTCAAACGAACAATTCCAGAACATCCCAGAAAAATCTGGTACGGCGCGAATTTTTTGCCAGCTGCTTTCCGAGTGGTCCTTCGACGAAATCACACTACCAAAATTTTTCTCATGAACAAAAATAGCGGAAGTGATAGCAGAGTTAGAAGATCGTTTTTCTTGAAAACGATGATAGTTAGAAAAGGGGGAGAGGCAGAACAGAGTTTCTTACTCCTTATGGATCAGCTTAGGTCAATTCCAGTTTCAGGCGACTTTTGGGGTTACCGTGTCCAGAAAGCCTGCTTGCTCGAGTGTATACTGTAAAATTACACCATGTTTACAATAAGCGACAGAGCCAATTTCAGGTTCTTATCCTTTCCCTTCATTTTGATTTTCAGATCCGTTGAAGCGAAGTATACAATTCTATGTAGTTAGCCATGACCCCTTACTTGGCCGACATAGGGCGCTTCTGCTGTAGTAATCTACTGTAAAGCAAAAAAGTGAAAGGTTTTCTGTGTAACCGTATGATTCCGCAACTTTTTGTGTGATTTTCCTTAAGGATAGCGGAAGCAGCCACAATCGAATTGTCATTCCATTACTACCCACCAACATTCAATCAGAATTCTGTCATGGGTGACAGTCTTGAGAATAAGAGGTATCCCGTAGCGGTTTATTAGGGTCTGTCGTGTATATGTACTGAACGAGCGCTACGGTACTTACGTTACAATGTTCGCAAACGCTTCCTTATGCTGCGATTAACAGCTACTTACATTTTTGGTACAAAATCCTCTCAGGTCCGACAACATGGTCATGAGACGGTGATGGAATGACGGGCTTGGAGAGCTTTTCGCATCAATGTACTGTTGAAGGGCGTCCACGTAGATCTCTTGCGTCTCTGCCACTTTTCGGACTTCCCGAATTCCAGGGCGTTCTGAATACATCAGAGTATTAACAGTGGAACATATGGCGAGCTCAAATTTTTATTGTGAAATTTTAAAACGAAATAACGGTTCAAGTGAGTTGCATCAAACTAATGTTCATGCATAAGTGAGCTATTTCGGAATTTCCATTTTTTAAGTGATGTGAGACCTCCAATTGTTCTACAAAAAGTCAGTGTAGATGGACAGAATGGATCCTCATGTAGAAGCCTTCGCGTCTGTGACGATTCTACTAATTATAGTCGAACCTGGGTGACAATAGATGACGCACCGAAGAGACGGCATTAGGAAAAAGCGACGGTACGGTTAACAGGATACCTGCTCGGTTATATTTCAAGCCCTTCCACGCTGAAAGGCGACCGCAGATGCAGCCGACGATAGAAGACGACGAGACGGTATTTGAGAGGACAGACGCACTAGAAAAAAAGCTTCTCCGTCCTATTTGGGGCCACTATCACCAATCACAGCTACGCCACGACTACGATTCACTTGAAGCTCTTAATTCAGCTCAGCTCTCTCTTTCTCGTTTGCTGTGTAAAAAATGCAGTGTATACGGCCGTCAGCATACTGTATGTCAGAGAGAGAGAAGAGAGATTAACACCAGAAAACGGTATTCCCGAAACGGGAGATCCCGACAAGCTGTCCTATTGCTTCCTTTAGAGACTTTTTTAGGCTCCCACCACACCTGTTCGCTTTCTAATATGTAGCTTCCATCAACAAATCCAGACTATTGCGGAAATCTTTACCGAAAGGGCGATCAATTTCAGCACTGAACTTGCACTATTGAATGGAAACATGGTTACTCATTTTAATTGCGAATTCTTTGATTTTGGAATATTGAAAGGAGGTATTAGAGTAATGTCTGCGGGATCATACCAAAGCGAATGTCCCTCAGGGATAATCCCTCTCATTAAATAGGGTCAATATTGCACGAGTGATTCCAGTTCCCGAAGAAGTACTTAATTAGTTACCTAATTACTAAATTCAAGAATTCTTTTGATTAGTACATAAATTCTATTAGCCCATTATATTTTCACCTGAAAAAGCAATGATCGCCTCCAGAAGATGCATCTCCGTGGGATCCGGTGATAGATCAGTTACTTTCTTCGCTAGTTCGAACACGAATTCTGCGTAGGAAGCCATTCCAGCTTCACAGTAACGTTGCCGGTCATATCTGAACTCTCATACAAATTAGTTTGTACGATTCTACTAGAGTTGAAAAGAGCAAAAACATGGGATCAGGAGAAAGGAGGGGGTGCGCTTCGTTGCGCGCGTCCGTCGAAACTAGGTCACGCCGCAGCCGTCGCACGCGGCGAGTCGGCGCGCGATACTTGACAGACGTCGCAGTTGTCAGTGGGGCATACCATTTGCGCTTGGTCCACGGCAGTCAGTTCAAGAAGAAGATAACACAGACAAATGCCAATCTTTCGCTCCCCTGACACTTGGAGTTACTGTAATGTCATCTCGGGACCTCTGTGTGGTGCGCCGCGCGCTAAGTGGGCGGGGTGACCTACTTTCGATGGACGCGTACAACGGACGTTCCCGAAAGAAGGAGTTGGCAATGCCGCTCATGAAGGCGCTCTTCTACGTGTTAGTTTACTAGCATGTCGCTTCGATCCCGGAGGGATGTTGAGTTCACACCAGCGCTGTTTAGTACTTCACAGTGGAAACTATTTCCTCTCTAGAGGAATGTGTTAAAGGAGCACCTCTTTAGTAGCAGCGATAATTAATAATGAGCCTATAACTCAACAGAAAACTCGTATCCACCAACAACAACAAAATTCCAATGATTTTTCTCTATTGCTAAATAATCGTGTAAATTGAAGACTCTTACCTGAAAGAATGCCGATCGTTACCAAGAAATAGGCATCGTTCAACTGCATCGTATCTTCTAGCCGTACGGAGCAAAAGAATCTCAGTTTTTGAATGCTAAAAAAGAAAGATACCCTATCCATCAAGGTATTTCGTTTTCCATTCGAGCTCAGAAAGAATTTATAAGTGAGTCTTGGTTTCACGAGTCTCGAATAATTGCCAGGTTTCAGTAGCCCGTTCAGGCGACTCTGAGTGTCTTACTTCGCTTCATTCTGACCCCTCGAAGGCTCTAACTTTCCGCGTACCCTCCCATCAATGTAAGACATGGACAGCTCATAGGACAATTGTGAACGGGTGAGCACGGATTCTGCTGAATCTCCTCACGATTGAACTAGCTATTGGCCATTGTCAACATTCATTACAGCAGAAAGAACTTTCCTGAATTCTGTCCACAGAGATGAATTCTGTTGAAGACCCATCTACAAGAGGCGATCCACCCACTATATAATAAGAACGTTATAGATGGGAACAGAAACCTTCAAATCCCTTGTGATAGACATGAGGACGTTTCTTCAAACCCAAACCTTGATGAAAACCAACTCCTGAAGGTGTCTGATCCACTGGATACGTATCCTATAATCATTTCGCGCAGGGACAATTCAGCATTATCAGAGCCCAGAGACTCATAACTCTGACGCAATACCCTCGTGTGCCCAGCGGGTTCAGCCTCCAGGTCCAGCGGGTTAGACTACATAAACATTTGCACAAATCTGTAGCCATATTTACGTTCGTGAACTAAGTGACAGAAAAATACAGGGTATATCCCGAAAAATTGGGATTGCAACGAGAGGACAGTTTTCTTAAAAGCATAGTTCACGATTAAAATGGTTGCTTGGTGGCCCCAAAACCGGCTTTGCCGACGTACGCACCCCAAAAAGGGACGAGTTGTCACGACGCTGTGGCGGCCGTAGAGGTTGCACCATTTGCTGTGGGAGCCACATGCTGCTTACAGCTTACTGTAGCCAATTGTACGCAATGGCACACACATTTGGACACCTCGTACCTTACCTCCGAATCCTCTTTCTTTGCAACTTTAGTCGTCGCATTCTCGTTCAACCCGTAACTTTACTACGTTTCCGAAACCTTATGTTTCTCTGAATCCGTCGATTTTCCCGTTTTCTTCAGCTGTGCCTTTGAATGTGTATAACCAGCAGGTGTGATTCGTTACTCGGAAGGGAAGCATTCTTACACTTAGTAGGTACAAACGGAGAATGTAAGGTCAAGAAACAATACAACTGCTCTCAATTATGAGCTATAAACAGGATTTCCTGCACGATAGGTGCATACGTTTTGGAAAGTTATGCCCAAAGGTGGAGGCTACCCGAATAATGCATAAAAATGTTAACTTCTTTGAACATTGTAGGCACCTTTTGCAGAATTCTGCGGTCTTCATCTTGAAGTCTGGAAAAGCCGGGTAATTGCCTTACGAATTCATGCACGTATTGGGCTTCGAGGATTGTCAGCTCGGCTAGCTGCTGAAAGGCGGAAGAGCAGGCAGAGTGGTGCAACTGAAATATTCAGGTTGAATAGACGGATTATATCCTCTAGAATGTCATAAAACTTACCGTGAGCGCCATTACTGCTTCATCCCTGACCAACGAAATTTTGTAAGAAGTCGACGTTAGCCTGGAAATGAGTTCACGAGTTTCGGACGAAATGTCATGTTCCACTGGGTCGGTTACGACTTGCGTCGTAATTTCGACAGACAGGGGTGATGGTAGTTCTGATCCATCACGTGGGGTCGATCTTTGCCGCAGTTTCGCCTCCCGCTTCATTCGACACTGCTCTTCGGGAATCACCACTGAACGTTTCAAAGTTATTATTTATGTCTACGCATTTTGTGATGAGCCGACAGCAGGCCAAGCGTCGCTTCTTTTTTGCCAGCACACTCTGAGAATTTGCCTCGGGCTGTATTTCAGGTAAAGAAGACTGGAGCCGAACTCGAGCCGGCAGGCGTGGAACGCGGTCTTCGGGTGTACAGCTTTTAATTGTAACAGTTTCATCGCACGGTATCTATCTTTCAAATTGAAATTATCCCTCCCCTAAGCATAGTTATTTCACTACCGCCTTTATCAGCTAACACGGTCATGGGCTTATTCATGACCCTTGAATCCATTGGGAGTACAGCGTTGCTTCCTGCATCCATTTGAGCCGCCACCTTTTCTGGCCACCCTTTTCATAGCCTTCACTGGTAGTTCGACAAGCCAAGCGACTTGGGATAGGACCCGTGGTAGTTCAATCTAAACAACCTTCCTCAGTAAGCACGAGAGGTCGTAAAAAGTATATTTGGCATTGTTAAGCTCTTTGCTAGATCAGCCCACAGTAAAACGAATTGCCATAAATTTAAACGCGAGAATGAGCGATTTTCTCTTATTGTCTGAACATTCGATCAGTGACTATTAATTGACCCTTAGGAACTTAGAAACTCCTACGAAAGTGAAGGTGTTGCGCTTACTTAATGCCACGCCACCAGTAAGTATCACAGAAACAAGTTTTCAGGATAGGAACGGACCTAGGGGGTATCTCATAGCAAAATTACTTACATCATTATCAAGAATTTTTTGAACAAGCGAAGGCCACATGCGAAATAGCAATTTTCTTCATGTTTTTTCTCGACTGAGGCTTGACCTCAACATTGCTTGAATACCCAGAAATACTTGTACGCGGAGACGCTGGCTCATTCTTGTTAGCTAGGATCACAGAATAAAACGAATAGACAGCAATCACTTCAACAATTTTGACTTATTGCCAGCGACCGTAGTCTCGCCCCATCGTACTTTTCGTTCTGGAAACACTCATTTCCTGGGTCATTTCATGAGGGAATGGCCTTTCTGAGTTGTTTGTACAGACTAGCTTTCCTTATAACAAATGTTGTCCAACGCTATTACTCAATTTTNCTTGAATACCCAGAAATACTTGTACGCGGAGACGCTGGCTCATTCTTGTTAGCTAGGATCACAGAATAATACGAATAGACAGCAATCACTTCAACAATTTTGACTTATTGCCAGCGGCCGCAGTCTCGCCCCATCGTACTTTTCGTTCTGGAAACGCTCATTTCCTGGGTAATTTCATGAGGGAATGGCCTTTCTGAGTTGTTTGTACAGACTAGCTTTCCTTATAACAAATGTTGTCCAACGGTATTACTCAATTTTTAAAATTAGCCTCGAAACTAGTGTTCTTTGCAGAAAACCACTTGAGGGACCTTATCGAAGCAGAAATTCTAAGAGTGGGCCGTGCTTCCCAACAAAGACGCTGATCCTGACAATTGAAAAGAAACATAGGAAAGAGATTACGTTCTGATCGCATCCCAATCCTCATGCATTTCTCAAGACGGCAATGCTGACATTTCCTCCTCATGTACATGTCGATGTCACAGGTTTGACCGAACTTGCAATAATAAATCGCCTGACGAGTAATTGAACGTCGAAAAAATCCTGCAAAAATGTATGCATGTGAAAACTGATGTATGAGAAATTATAGGAATAAAATTGTGCATTTCAGAGCAATTTCACTCGTAACTTTGCATTAATTTTGAACGATAGCAAGAGAAAATCCAGAAAACTCTGGAGCTAACTTTCATTTCACGGACCATTCGGCCTTATTTCAGTACCGATCCTAATCAGAATGGTCCACACAAACGAATTTTTGTCATTCATCAGGTTGGTGCATGAGTCTTCTGACACATACGACACTTTTGGAATCGTGACACTTGACGTTTTGACATAACATTGTGTTAAAAGACATAAATATTCAATATGTACGCAACTACGTTATATTAGTTTGTCTCAAAAGTTCGCGCGTATTTTTTGAATCTCGCGGGAATTGTCTCAAACTTCGCACGTATTTTTTTGAGTTTAGCACCGATATCTTCCATGCTGATTTTGTGGTCCAGCCATTGGAACAATGTAAGCCACCGTAGAAACCTACATAGCTGAGGTATTGATCACGTTCGCCTGAGGTGCTGATTTTCTCTAAAAATGGTGGATGAAAAACTCCACTGTCGTCATGCTATGCTGTATGGGTTCCAATTGGGCGACAACGCAGTCGAACACCCACAATATATCTGCTCTGCGCTATGACTTGATGTTGACTCTCGTCGTACGGTGGCGAAATGGTTCGATCGGTTTCGCTCAAGCGATTACGACTCGGAAGACAAACCTTCCATTCGCTTTTCTTTTCTCTCTCTCCTCCCATTCTATCCCTCTCTACCCCTCCCCCTCCCCCTCCCACCTTCCCCTCCCTCCTTTGTAGTGTTCCTTGGGCTCAATGTTTTGGCAGCACGAGAAGGAACTCCATCAGAAACATCGTGGGCTGAGATCTAAAACCCTTGTATACAGGATGCGAGGGTTAGCAAAACCAAGCGGTCCTTCAACTAATTTCAGCTAAACAACCAAGCGGCGGTAGGGTGTTGTAGGATAAGGAGAACACCCAGAATCAAAGAGAACCTTTCAACTATGTATCGCAATGTTTTTGGTGTTATCTTCAATAGAGCTGCTTGGTTAGCATGGTTATGTGCTGAACCAATTCCCTGGTTTGTCAAGTGGATGAGTGTCGACCTAGAATCCTAGCGCCTCTCTGTAGTTGAAAAGCGTGAAAAAGCAATTCCCACCGTAACACCTATGAAAGGAGCTTAAAGTGAGGCATACTTGTACAGGTCCACGAACAGGTCCATTTTCCGCGAAATCCAGCTTTTGCTTTTGGTTCTGGCATCTCTCCTGCAGAAGGCCATAGAGTCTCTCCTTTGTATGATTAATACAGGGTATCAGGCTTTCATCTTCAGTCACAACCTTCTTAGGAAGCGTTCTCAAGCGAATGCGGCAGAAGAGAGAACAGATCAGGTATTCATACAGTTGATCTTGTTTGCTGTCTGAGTTAATAAGGAATCCTTTGTCCAGATTTGAAGCTTCCGAGCCGGCGAGACACTACCTACTGTAAAGGTCTGGTCTACCACCTTCTCAAAAAGTGCTTCAGAAGGCACAGGAATTCATTTCGGACTATTTTCGTGCTGTGAGGCAAGGGCTTCGCACGTGTACCCTCGGGTGAGTCATTCGTGTGCACTCTACCGTACCCACATCGATACCCTACGTACCGATTATTTCACAAGCGGGCGATAACATGGGGTTACAAAAGTGTCGCCAGACTTGTGCATCATTCTGATAGTCCCTTAGAAGTTTTATTTCCAAAAATTATTCATTTTTAGCGAAAATGCTCTCGAGTGGACCTTAATTGAAGGCGTATCGGTATACCTTTGCATCCTTCACATGTTAAAGCATTGTAGTGATAGCCGGAAGCTTTGTCACCGCAGACCAAGCACAGTTCTTCACCCGGTACAGCTAAAGATGGAGCTCGACATTTCAATCCTCGTGCTTTTCTTGATGGTCCCTTAACGACCTAGGAGATTGCATACAATATCACTGAACCTTACGAAAAAATCAATGAAGTGAATCACGGATTGCTCTACCGTAACACTGACTTCTTTTACTATTCAGTCATAGCTATTAGTCTACTAGTAAAAGACATTCCCTAGGCCTCAATGATAGCCTGGGGACTAACGTATGGGATACCCCTAGTAAAGCAGATGAAGCAGACACCAATCACATGGAGGTTTATTGTTGTAAAGGGGGCAATCACCGTTCCGTACAAAGTAAATAAATTAATAAATAAATGAAGAATCGAACAATTTACCAAATAAATAAAAGAATAAAAAAGAAATGAAACAATCGGGTAAATGAATAAATAAATAACAGGTGTTTACGTAGACGCACTGGTAGGACCGGATGATTAGTGAATACAGACGGTCCAGTGCATTTGGCACTATCACCAGATATCACCAATCACATCTATTTATCATTGCAACTTATCGATTAATGCACATTCTTATTTTTGCTCTTGCTAAACACTTCTTGGTCAAAGTTTAGACATTCAGGATTCTCTATTGACCGTTAAGCATGTCTAACTCCCCGTATAGTTCGAAGGCTTCCCATGAAAAAAAATCGCCCATTGCCGCTAGGTTTTGATGGCATTTTCCTAATTTGGGAGAAGTTTGCTTTTCTGTACGAACTAGAAGGGCGACCAGCAGTAAAGATATCTCCCACCCACAGAATCTGGGTGGTCTAAGGTGCATGAAATCCCAATTGTCGACACCACATTACAAAGTTACGTCCATTGGCTTTTATCCTTTCAATATGTAGATTCCCATGTTCCACAATCAAACGCCACTACGATTTTGAATGGAAGTCCAATGCAATGGCGCATCCCAAAATGGGATTGATGCCAAAACGCCAAGACCTTCATACGAATTCACCATTTTTTAAGTTTTCACTGAGTGCTTTACAGTTATTCTGTAGCTAGTCCCCTTCTCCAGTTTGCTAGGACACATAACCTTCTAGCATACCTAGCACTAAATTGAGGCGTTTTACCAACAGGAGCCATTTGATTCGGTATAATGGTCGGAATAACCAGTTTTTTTTCGACAGGTGCCTAAGTGTCTTTGCCATGGCGAGGCTCAAGGACATTTCTACGACTGAGCAACATAACGCTAGGGCCTGTTGGTTAAAACAGTTTTAACAAAAAAAATTGCAAATCCCTTATGGAAAGGCTCTGGCTCAAAGAATTTTAAGCGAAAAGTTCTATACCTGTGTATGCGTATGACTGTGGGCGATTTGCTCGGGGAATCGCTCTTGTCTGATGTATTGCGGCCATTTGGCTTCTTCTTCTGAGCGAAAAAGAGAAAGATTAGAAGTGTTGAAATTGCACGATCATCACAAGGGGGTCCGACAAAAGTGTTCGACAAAAAACCATTGTGTAGACAGTTTTTTTTTTGCCTTTTTTGGTATTGTTCGGGCACGTAATCATCAGTGACTCACCCCTAACATCCTGTCTGACGTAGCCTTGTTGTAAGGTGGTCGGCAGATTTCTCATCTGCGTATTAGCATGAAGAGGGTTACTGGCCGACCAGCCACTAAGCGGTGGCAACTTATGATAGGTGACCGTTGCAGTGGTCATCGAGGTTAGGAAAAATGTTCGGGACCTCTGTAAACCAGAAAACGGTCCTTCCTTTCGTCAAAAGAAAGGAAACGTCAAAAAACGAATGAACAGCACAAAAAGGAAACGAAATCTCGATGGATTGGAAATTTTGCATCTCCATCCTTGGCAACCTGCCATAGGCAGGCTACCTACATTCTGGACAAGCTAATAGAGATAGGCTTCAGCAAAGTTTCAGTGGTATCGGAAGGAAGCAGAAGAGGTTTCCAGAGCTAATAAAAGAGGTTCGAAAAGTAAGAAGTTGGGTAAACGAATGACCATTAAGAGCAAATATGGTAGAAGTAGAGGAAGCCGAAGTAGACGGTAGACAAGAATGGGTTGGTCCTGTCGAGGCGACCGCCGGCCCTAGCCTTATTCTGCTGCGCACAGCCAGCTGGTGCCGTCTAAGAGAATGAGCTCTGCTGGTGTTGATGCCATTGGCGCAACGTCGATGGAACATCGGTGACGAGGGCGGGAGGGGAGTGACCTTGGGCACGGCTGCGCTGCCCGGTACCGCCACCACATTCTCGGTTTCCAATATCATGTTTTTGATCTGATTACTACCATACACTGACAGAACTGGCGCCGTTCGTCTTTCTGTATCCGGGTGTTCAAACACCAGATTAACTTCTGTCGGAGAGAACTGCTTTTGGTCGGCTCGAAAAGGAATAGGTGGAAGAGGTTGGAGAGCTAGCAGGGGGAAGGCGGGGAGAAAGAGAAACCGAAGAAAGGAAACTGCTCCCGAAAACGGTCTTACTGTAGCTGTGTGGTCCTTGCCAGAACTTCAGATCGAAATTGAAGTTTTCTAGGTAATTCAGAGTATGGTAACGTGCTATGCCACGAGATTTACATCGATTCACAGCAGCTAAGGAATTGGGCTTGATATTCATGCACATACTGTAACCTATGGGGCCAGCCAGACCTTACCGCATCGCCGGCATCATTCCACAAAAAATCTTCCTTGAAAGAACGACAGGAAGCTGGATTACATGAGAGGGTACCTCGGATCTGCAGCCATGAAGGCATCGTTGTTACCTCTTTGAGGTTAGGGGGATCTTGACAGTTTTTGGACGATACAGTGGCGTGGCTTCGAGGACGAAGACGTTCAGCGTGGTGGCCATGAAGGATACCTAGTATTGTAGAAAAAAGTACGTTCTGATCGATTCCGATGCTCATGCACTTCTCAAGGTTGCAAAGCTGACATGTCGCATTGTCCCTGGTTACTGTCGAACTTACAATAGTAAAACACGTGACGAGGAAGAAGAGTACCGACGAAACCTTCGAGGAAAACGAAAATTTAATATTTCCTAAAGGGGAAGGATACAAATCGCTCTGAAAGAAAGATGTCCCCATCGCTCTTGCATGCACGTGGGATCAAAATACATTGATCAGTTGTCGATTTTGGGGAAGTTCAGAATGAACGCCTGGGTGATGATTCAGTACGGCGTAATGAATCACTGAAGAAGACCGTTGAGAAGGCCTCCACTGTCCTAAGGTCGCATCCGACTCATGAACGTAACTTGAACAGATACCTCAATAGCTCAACAATCACTGGAAGAGCTAGGTCTAGGGAATTTGTTCCGGGAAGATCATGATGCCCGGAAAGCGGAAATATGGGTTCGAGTTTCTTCCGAGGCTAACCGTCTTGACAATATCTAACCACCATTCAGACCACCCAATCGCGTACTGATGAGACCAAAAGCCTCGGCTCAAGAGGGTACCGTAGCTTCCCGTAATGGAAAGCTTCAAAGTAATAAACTTACAAAAACAACAAAAGAAAGGGTTAAAAAGTCGAGGGGAAAGCCGAAAAAGCCAGTCATTCACCTAATTTTTGCCTGATTCTTTTCGAATGGCCCAGTATTTTTGCCCTTGCACCTACTCCTTCACCGCCTAGTGTATCTTTTTGAAGTAAATTGAGCGAACGCAGATCTGATTTCTCTCGTTTCTGTATGATTTATTGGACCTGGGTCATCTAGCCCTTACACTTTCACTTCCGTATCTCACCACTCACATTCTACGCGCAGTTTCTACCTTTGGAGAAAGTACTCGAGCATTTGTTTCAATTGGAAAAGGTATCAGAGAATCTTGGTGGTTTACATAGCCGGAACTGATTTGAAGACTTATTTGAAGACTCTCGAAGATCTTGAAAACAGTGCAAGTCCTCTTTGAAGAAGATCAAAGTTTTTGCGTCGAACCCACGTTCACAATTTTTGTTTCGAATTGCAGTGGCCCTTGAAAGTGCTGATTTTCGTAGTGCTCCTTTTATTTTTAATAGCAATATTGAAATATAAAAAATAAAATAATAGTAAAATAAAATATAATATAAAATATAAAAAATAAAAAATAAAAAAAGCAAAAAGTAATGGAAAAAAGGGGTTAAAAAGTGGAAAATTAAGAAAGGTTAAAACGAGGTTGAGGTAAAATGACAAACTTCCCACTATATTGCAGGCATACTACTTGAATTGAATTCCTGATTGACTCTCGTCCAATCCAACCAAACCTTCCATCCCTTTGAGTCGATTGGTACCAATTGGTGTAGTTGGTCCTAGACTCGTCTAGGAGGACAAATCGCTCAATTAAGCAACAGTTTCCCTCAGCGAGTCAAATACACTTTAAGAATGGCACTGGGATTCTGACTAGAAATTGATTAGTGGATTCTGACTAGAAGTCGATTAGTGGCGCATACCAAAAAGGATCGATTAAGCAAAATTTTCACCTTCCAGTAACAATAGTTTTAGTTTGCTCTAATAATAGTTCATTTATAAAATGACGTCATAAACTTCCACGTGAATGACTGAATGAATGTCAATTCTAACATTCAGCCGATAATCGTTAAAACAACCCTGTACCAAAATGGGAAGCGTAACCTTGGCGTCAGTAAATACATTATACAGCTTTTTGATGTGACCCCTGAAATTACTGCCATGGGTAGAGTCGAGGCATCCCCGTGCGGGACAGACTGCATGTGTGATTTTTGGCCTGGAAGCATTGAGACATTTGAACGTCCATACAACGACGATATTTTTCACGATAGCTTATAGACGTCATACTTGTTTAAAAGAAACATAATTCATCTGATATACCTATACAACCAAGTTGCAACCTATGAATAAAGGCTGTTTTCTGTAGACCGTGTAGGTACCGTATCTGGGTTTTTTGCAAGGGAAGGACGTGGGAAGAAGCTACGCCTGCTTCATTCTTTTGACCCTTCAGTATGTCTGACGTGAGGAAGGTGTCCACTGTGACTGGAATGGGTGATGACTGTGATATGACCACCATACTCTCCTCACTGGACGATCTCATGTTCTCCGCTGACGCACTGGTCCCAGACTGTGGCTCAGGTATGACATTAGGACAACTGCCAACAATTGGTCTAAGTGGAGTGTTCGGAAGTATCGACCGGAAACTTCTTAAAATTCTAAATTAGTTCTGGGAAGTTCTGGAAGTTAACATTGGAATGCTGTGAAGGGACGCTACTCCCCTGTATGAGCATAAAATATCCAGAGACACTCTGATATCGGAGCCTGTTGACCAGTCTATACGGCAGGAGACGGTATAGACCGCCGAGGGACCTCAAAGCCAAATACTAACGTACGGGTCCACCATGGGGAGACAACTGGGCCATTATAGGGCTAAGACATTCTAAAGAAATCGGTACCATTATACAACTTTTGACTAATTCTTTTCAAGTGGTCCCGTCCATATTTCTTGCTCGGGCACTTCCTCCCGCTTCCTGTTGTATCATAGCTGATTTCCTTGTCTTATTGCCTGTTTCTAGATTTATACGGTCAGTACATACAGTACTTTCTTTCGCGAACTATAACAGCACCTCGTTTTCATTAATAAATCTGGTGAATGGTCATCCCAGTGTGTGTTACGCCTGCCCAGAAAATCGTTACCGACGAACGCAGTGTTCAACGATCGTTGCTGTTTATTTCACATGACATTACTGACTTATCTGATGTCTGATGATTCGGCCAATGCGGTAGACCTCGTGGTCTTCGATCGCCACCACTGTAACTAGCATATTGGAATCATTATGACTAAAGGGAATCCCCAACTCTTGTTCACTCCAAGGTAGGATGCGGCGAGAACTCGAAGAGAAGCCATGCACTTAACAATCAATATTTTCAGTATTTTTTAACCACAAGCCTTTTTTATAGAGACTAAAGAGTATGGAGGATGGAATCTTTCGACGTTAATAAATATTTTTTTAGGGACCAGCCCCGCATTCAACTTCCATTTAAACTCGTTAAAGCGTTCGTATGTTGCCTATACAACGACTTCCAGCAGTGAGCCGATCTAGACGTCCAAGCTTTGACCCTCCCAGATAAGTCTGGTACTACTTTACCATTTTCGGAGGTCTAGAAGTCATGGCTAGTCCGACAAGCGTCGGTCCCCGATCGATCCGAACCTGGAGTATATGTGTGGTAGTGTGCGCCACTTGCCACTTCATCACAACCGCCTGTCATGGATTATCAGCACTTCTTACTAATAATTTAGAATATTTATCACCGTTTTCAACAGAAAAATCAAAAATAAATTAAGGCAATAGAAATTAACAATAGAAATTTTGAATATCCAGTGACAACCCACTTGAAGTGCACGCATTATGCCACCACACCAGTATTAAAATGCTTAGACTATAGAGATCTCAGTTTCAAGAATATGAGGATATTTAAACTTTTAATACTAAATAATTGTTATTTCTAAAGTACGCTATTCTGAATGGTAAAATTCTGTGATGATCATGTTGTGTTGCTGCCACATTGAACAGATCACAGTTGGAAACACGGTTGATATTTTCCGGATCCTCTTCGTCCCACATACCTCTGTAGGCACAGTAGGGCCTGAAATATAAGACTTTAGAGTTGTTGACGAAGACGTGAATAAAAGTAAACATCTGAACGGAACATGATAAACAGTATTTCAAAAATCTACAGTAAATATCTACCCTAATCGGAACGGATAGTCTATTTAAGCAAAGATTTCGCCTTTTTGTACCAGTGCCGAATAGGCACGACCATTGGTGTCTCTTCACATTACTTTACAGCCAAAACCCTCCACCATATGCGTTTCTGCTGAGGTGAAAAGGAAGTGAAAAATGAAAGAGATTATTAGAGAATCGTTTCGGAAAAGTCCACTTCCAGCATTAGCCCTCTACGCCGCTTACGATTAGTTAAGGATCAGCTGCTATGAAATAGGCCATGTACTCAACTTCCATAAAAAATCGAAAGATATAAAGTTCAACAATGGCTTTTGCAGCGATCTACACTGTCATGGTTGAGGCACAGTTCGTCCCACAGCTATTTCCGAAGACCAAGGTTCATCCTGTTCAGAAACCATTTTCATCGCGACTTATGCTTCTGATGTTGCTGCAGCTATTTTTAAATTCAATGCCAGTGTAGCAAATACTGTACCTTTCGAGGTCTGGTGCACAGTTGAGCATTTGGAAAATGACATAATTGATACCCATTTTCTTCAACGTCTCATGTACCTCGCTGATAGGCTTCTTACTGAATATCGAATAGACCAGCTTGGTTCGATTCCTAAAATCAATGTGGTAGTCGTTTTGAACTAGGTGCGTGCATGAAAGGGTGATGATTCCAAGTGACAAATTTTGATACAACAGCAGACGGCCGTGATCTTCCCACTTCCAAACCGTTAATGCCACAAGAGAGAGAGACAATTTGTACGTAACCGACAAGAAATACCCACAAAAGGTCAAAAGAGCCCTCGGGTCCGCTGACCAGCGTTTATAAACTTTCATCACAGAACGATATCGTACTCACCTAATGCCAACATCTTCGTAGTGGGGATGATTGACAATGGGTCGAAGGGTGGTCAGCTTGACATTCGCCATCACAGGCATCGTGCCAGCAAAAACTGCATCTGAAACTTGTCCGTTGAAGCGAAATCTGTGGGGCGCTGAAGTTTTGACCAAAGCATGGCGCACAACAAACTGGGAATTTTTCCCTCATATAACTCAGCCTGAACGGCGTGTCTATCTTGTAAGTAGTTCTTCGGGGAAAAGAGGCAGTTAGTACAGACCTGGCTTGGTTTCTCTCATTATCCAGTCAAAAAGCATTTCTTGCTCAGGATTGCTGTACTCTCCCTGTATAGCGAGTTGTTTGTCTATATTTGTCTTTCCTTAAATATGACAAATTGCCTTTCGCAGCCCTACTTTTTCATGACAAAACTTTTGAATTGAAAATTACCGTACCTTCATAAGCCATCGCAGCAATCAACGCGATTACGATTACGGTATGTATACGCTTGTCGAGGTGGATGTTTATCGATTGAAGGAGCTGTAAGTAATTGTGATAAATTCAAAAAAAAATCGAGCTTGGAAGAGTTTTTTTAGAAATCTAGAAAGTAACCCCTTCAGTAGGCTTTTCTGACAGCTCGTCACATTTTGAGGAAAGAGATGGTTGGTACTGAATGATGACGATGGGCAAAGAGACTGTTTCTAGATAGGTTTAAATCCCCTCCCCTCTTTCCCATCAAGTAGGTCCTCTATAAAGCTCTTGAATAAAAGTGAAAAGTCATTTGTCAAAATACCCCGTTATTTGTTGCAAGTCTGGCAGCCTACACGTTCCCCGGGGTCGGATGGCATTGTAGCGCTTATCAACCCACCCAAACCGCTGAAAGAGCGATCCATCTAAACGATCCCATACCATTCACTTTACTATGAACACGAACGCGAAAATGGAGTTGTTAAAGAAGTCAATAAATAGTGTCTGCTGACTAAAACCATCTTATGGAATGACAAGGACATGGACCATTCACCAGGCTCACGAAGGTTTCCCACATATTCACTAAGGTTCTGCCTTAGCACTACACTGGGAACGACACGATCGCTCATTCGCCAATGAGTACGATAGGCGGCGTTGTTACAGCGAAAACTGTTCGAGAATGTTGTTGCAAAAAGCGGAGAAAAGCATTAGCTCCCTAACTACATACGTCCCTGCCAACGTATCACGGCTATTGCCTGATAGGATGTGGGCCAAGGCAATGTAACTTTCGATAAGCTTACGGAACCTTCGTAGTTTATCGGTATATCTATACCTGTAGATCCCTCGGACCTGGTAAGTGGTGCTAAAGGTATCATGGCCGATTGCTTGCTAGCTCAAGGCTCATGCTGTCTTGAATAGTAAAAAAATAGGGCACTGTACTGATTCGGAGGGCGCTCCCGGTCCCGGCTACTAATCAAAACCATAGGAACATTTGTACTCGCATATGGCCTATACACTGACGTGCGGAGGCCAGCTGACGTACAAGTCAGTGCTTTTATCTCCCACACGACTTTAGTGGAAAGCAGCAGGCTCCGTAGGGATGGAGGCTTGGTTGGCCTGAACGGATATCCAATCTGAATTGAACCGTCGATCGTGAATATGATAGGGCGACACCTACCGTTACCTACCACAAACCCCTTGAAAATAACTCAAGTAGTTAAATAATCAAAAGAAAGTAGAAAATCATTAAAAGCTCTAAGTTGAACTGATCTGTTACCTTATTATTAGCTAAAAATGCAGAACAAATGCATAGATGTGGTGTGAAGAAGAGTTTCAGCCGCATAATTAACAGCGCCATGACAGCATAGCAAGCCGTCTGTACAACATTGTAGAAGACCTAAACGAAACAGTATTTTTCAGTCTTACAATCTATTCGTAACTTAAAGGCATGGTTCGCAATCAAAATGGTTCCAGACATTTCCCCCTAGAAACCTATGACCCCCAAGAATACCACAAGTGACGTTGTCGGGGCGAAAAACGCCCTAGATAGGACGAACTGGCGGCTCCAAAACGAACACACCCAAAGCCTCATCCGATTTCCCACGGCGTTTTGGAGCTGTAGAGGTTGCATCATTCGCGCCAGGACGCACACGTTGCACACAGACAGCATACTGTATCCAGCTGTAAGTGGCTCTCACAGTGGAAAACTCGTTCAAATACCCTTTTCACGTAACTTCTACCGTCACATTCTCGTCCAACCATTGATTTTATTAGTATTTTAAAGCTTTAATTTTCTCCAAGATACGTCGGATTTCGCGTTTCACCGTTTCGCCACTTTTTCATTCTTCCGGACCAGGCTTCCATTACTCGCCGGACACCAGATGTCCCAAAGTTATCGTTAACGGTGTCATTATTCTTTCACTCGTGTTTCGAAAAAAATTACAGAGTCCAACATAGTAGCAATTTGATTTAATTGCCGGTGTTATTCGAAATGAGCATGGTACAATGGGTAACTGGGTAAAAACCATGGGAGCAACGTACCTCTGCATATGGTTTTCCCTTGTTGCCACTTCTATACAGTAATTCCTTTCTCTCTGTGAATAGGAAAACAACAACAAACAAAAAGATGCCCATTGCAGCTGCAGGTAATAACCACGTGGCACATAACTTTTGAAGAGTCTAAAAGAAGAGCCAAGACTGCATAAAAAGTCAATTATTTTAGTCATCGGCTTTTTACAGTGGTATTTGGGATAAAATGGTACCTCGAATGAAATGAAATCAAATTCTTTTGAGCATGTGTAAAGGCGTGTATGAAATGTCGCGTAATCAGTGAATTTCGATCGTAGAATATCGAAGATATGTGCCTGAAAGGATTACGGTAAAAAATGCGCGACGAAAGAGGATTGTTATGATGTGCTGCGCGCGGTTGCGTTGCGGACCTTGCTAAGAGGCAGCTTAATAATGCTGGAACGATATTTTGATGTGAGATTTTCTGAAGCAACAAGTCATTGTGCTCAATTCAAACTCGACCCTGTGGAATTTCAAACATGCAAGTGGTTACATTGCCAAATAACAACCTTTTGGATAAACAATTTCACGAATACACTCCAAAAAAAACTTCCAAAGTTAAGACTCACGTCATCTTCCACTTGTAGCAGCGTTGAAATACCGAGCTTTATTCCAAGTGTACCGAAAACAAAGCACAAAGAGGTTATGGCTACATAGAGAGGACGTAACGTGATTCTGCCCAGAATACAGTCGAGATTTACTAAAATCTGCAAAAAACTTTTGGAGCATATCGCTACAGTGAGCGAAGGTCGGGACTTATTAAAGAAGACTTACCAAAGCTGCCAAAATACTTGCTGTATATAAAGATGTGAGGAGCATTTCATTACCGAACAACATCATAAAGGCCAGTGTGAAAGTCACCTGCAACAATCCACTGTATGGAGATGATACTTCAAGTCTCCCTTCTTCCTTTTCAAAGATACTAAGAGCTCCTGTGACCGGTTATGGGTACTTACGTGCGTCCGAGGATGCGCGCGGCAAATTGCGCTGCGAGTGCGTGGTGATTCGAACGACTCTGGCACCATCATCGGGGTCCAAACTCGAAGTAGAGTAGTTTAGTAGGGCCAGGTGATACAGATACTCTACTCTA